GCAAGTTGGGGTCTTGGTCTTGGAGGCTCACAGCAAACATGGGGTCCAGGATGATAGACCTCACAGGTAGGATGATTGGCCCGGGTTTCTTGGGACCAGCTTCAGTGGACAGTCAATGGACATGGAGCTGGGCAGAGGGTAACAGGAGGTGGAAAGATGACCAGGACTGTGTGGTCACAGAGCAGAGACATCTGATGACATTCTGCTCCAGGATGGAAGGGCTCTGTCTTCAGTCTGTATGGCTGAGCATGTGGATGGAGACTGCCCAGAAGTATCCCACACCAGCCAGGTGGCTGTCCCAGAGGCTAGCCAAGGACAAGAGGGGGCCAGCAACCAAGTCCAAAGGCAGTCACTGGAAGTCTTTCCTCACCAGGCATGGCGATGACCTAAGACAGCCGCTCACCAGATGACAAAGCAGAGGACAGTGACTGGGAAGAGATGAGGCTTGGTGACTGACCACCATCATTAGGTAGCCCTCCAAGGTTCTATCAAGACATTGCCAACAAACTGGGGATGACATCCCTCCCATGTCTCATTCGGGGTGGCCGTGGAGTGCACTCATGAGCCAGTAGGTCCCCTGAGTTGGGTCTGACCATTAAGAATGTTTTCAAAACTGTCTAAAGTGTGAAATGTCAGATAATAAGAGAGTTGATAAGTGAGAAGTAGCCATATACGTTCATATTGCATTTTTATATAGTTAATATTATTTTAGCGTCAACAAACTTTTCATCATAAATTTTAGTACCTGGTGTGGCACTATAGGATAAGCACTTGATCTCAAGGTCAGAGATTCAAACCCACCAGGCCTGTTCAAACCTCAGAAACCATTTACATGGTCACTATGAGTGGGACTTAAACAGTCAAGGGTTCACAGGGTGGGGGGACAGGCATACTCCCAAAGTCACTGTGTCACCCCCTCCTGTTACACCCCTTGACTCCTCAACAACTCCTGTAAAACTGTGCTTTGCTCTATAGGAAATACCCTTCCTTGGGTCAGGGAGCCCAGGACCCTCAGACCACACACAATAGGGTTCGCTTTATTGATCCAGAGCGCCATCTGGTGGCCAGAATCCACCACCGCCTCCTTCTGCCTCCAGGTGATCCGCTCTGTTTGCAGTGAAGGGGCTGGTGGGGACCAGGAAAGGGAGATTACACGGGCACCGGGACCCCTGCTTCACCTCTAGGGCCAATCATTATAGCACTGTCTAATCTTCCTACCTGTTGAAAACGGATCTTGGCACAATTTCCCCTATGAAATTGCCCAAGGTAAATAAAGCCACAGTGTTAGTAAAAATCAGGAAAACAGACATTCTCCTAAACTCTCATTTCCTTTAACATGTCTTCAGGATCAAGACCAGAAGTTGCATCTGTCTAGTGGAACCCCAGGAGAAACTTTTTCTAGAAGTGTTAACTGCCGTCAAATCACTGTTGGCAACCCCAAGCACACAGAACGAAACGCTGGCCTGGCCTGTCCTGGGCCAGCCCATGATGGGCTGTGGATCAGACTGTTGTGATCCATGCAGGACTTCGAGCCAGCTCTCTGATAGACCCCACTGTCCTGGAATGGCCCTGGGCTGGTCAGTGTCTCATCCTATCCTATGTGAGTCACTATGCCTTGAAACCTACAACCTCCCTGGGCATCTTATAAAAATGTAGATTCTGATTATATCTGGGATGGAAATGCAAATTCTCAGCAAGGAATTGACCTGAAAGGACAGGTTCCGTGCCCTGGACACATGGGACTTTCACACTGGACAGTGGTCACCAGCCCATCGCTGTCTGGAAGCTCTGCTGACACCTGCTCACAGGATCACGCAAGCCTCCACAGACAGTGGTAGCTGCCCTTGAAGTGCCTTGGCCAGACCTCGAACCCAGCTCTCCCTCTTGGGAAGCGATAATTCTATTACTGATAGCCACCACGGCCTCACTTCTTTAGAAGAAGCACCAGGAAAGACAGAATCTGTTGGAAATGCTGAGTTGCGTCCACCTCTAGCCTAGTGTAGAAGCAAGACCATAAGGGGCCAGCAGGCCATGATGACACCCCCAGTTAGGATGAAGTGAGGGGGATTATTACAAAGGAACTCACTACGAAGGAGTGACCGGGGAGGTAGAGGGCCTCAGACAGGGAGGAACGCAGGCCTTGAGGTGATGGAGTGAACCCACCACCTATTGGAGGTTGAATGAGCCCCTCTCAGAACCCCCAAGATGGAACCCTGCCTTGACCTGGCCTCCGTGTCTCCCCCTCGCCCCCCCCCCCAGCCTCCTATCAGAGCTCAGCAGAGGCTCCACCACATAAAGGTCCAAGCCCAGCAGTCCAGTGGTGTCTCTGGGTTCTGGGTGTTCAGAAGTCCCGGGTCAAAGGGGAGGAGGAGCCTTCCCCAGGTACTTCCATATCGCCTCAAAATTGGCAGGATTAAGTCACCTCCAGATGGTTATGCCTCATCACTTACAATGCCATATGCAGCTTACAGGCTGGGCTAGGCTGGTAACCACAAGGTGAATAGTTCAAACCCACCAGCTACTCCATAGGAGAGAAATGTAGCAGTCTGCGTCTGTAAAGATCGACAGACTTGGAAACCCTACTGGGCAGTTCTACTCTGTCCTCTGGGGTCACTTGAGTTAGAATCGAGTTGATGGTTGGTTTGGTGACACAGTGATTAAGCACTTGGATGCTAATCAAAAAGTGAGTGTCTCAAATCCACCAGCATCTCCGTGGGAGGAACATGTGACTGTCTGTAAAGACCACAGCTAGAAACCCTATGGGTCTGTTCTTCTCTCGGAATCAACCCAACGGCAGTGGGTTTCAGTTTGTTTTTTAATTTGAAGTTTAGGATCCCCAGTGGCACAGTGGTTAAAGCATTTGGCTGCTAACTGAAAGGTCAGCAGTTCAAACCCACCAGCTGCTCCGGGAGAAACATGTGGCAGTCTGCTTCCTTAAAGATTTACAGTCTCTATGTGAAGTGATTTACAGTCTCTAAGGAGCTCTGGTAGCGTAGTGGTTACGAATCGGGCTGCGAACCTTAAGGTCAGCGGTTCGAAACTACCAGCCGCTCCGCGGGAGAAAAATGAGGCTTTCTACTCCCGTAAAGATTTACACCCTCGGAAACCCTGTACAGGGTCGCTATGGGTCGGAACCGACTCGACAGCACTTAACAACAACAACAACATGTGAAGTGAGGAGAGAGGCACAAGAACTCCCAGACTTGCAGATGGTATCCATTAACTTGATAGTTCATTAACAGATAGTATCCAATAACTTGATGACCAGAACTCGACTAGAGGGAAAAAAGAGTGATCCACTGCAATTTGATTAATTTGAACTATGCTTGAGGATGTAGTGGCTCAAAGGGTGGAACAAATCTTTACAGCGAGGATCATTCCCAACCCCTTGGTATACAGGGTGAGCAAGGATGGGCAACTTGAACATTGGCTACCCAAAATAAAATGGGGGCTACAAAGGCAAGAAGTGACTGGCGTATAAGCTTCCAAAAGGTAACTTAGTTCAGAGGGTATGGGGGAAGGTAGACTCTCCACTGAGTGGTTTCCAACCTGTCTGTAAGGGACTGGTGTAAGGAGATGGGGATAAGACTCTTGTGGTTCAATAGTGAATAATTGCTATCAGGAGGGACAGTGAGAGTTGCAAATGTAAAGGTAGATGTTTTGTAACAAAAGGAGGGGAGTGGTTGACCTTGCAGTCCAGGAGCGGAGGTCCCTGGGATCATCAAGAGAGAAGAGTTGAGTGCTGAACCTTATTCAGAGAAGCAGCAACACCAGAGATGGAGGCAGAGACGATGACGTGGAGAGATGGAGCGGCTGGGGACTCTGGACTCAGGGAGGGAGAGGGGTTGTGTGCTGGCTTCCAGGGGACAGACTTGCAAGGTGTACCCTTTGGTTGTTTGATGATGCATGGGGGGGGGGGTGTAATCATTGCAATGAAATGAAATACGATAGGATGAATGTAAAGCTAATGTTCTCCCATGTAAACTCACATAATTCACAATAAAAACTTAAAATAAATTTTTTAAAAAAGATTTACAGTCTCAGAAACCCTAGGGAGTCTTTCAGCTCTGTCCAGTAGTGAGGCTGTGAACCAGAATGGCCTCTGTGGGTTTAGTTTTTGGCATTTTAACTGGAAGGGTGTAGGTGTAAGTCCACTCAGAAGCACCTCGGAAGAAACGCCTGGCTATCTGCTTCTGACACTGGAGTCATTACAAGCCCCACGGAGCACAGTTCTATGCTGACAGGTCACTGTAAGTTAGGGACCTCAGTCACCTGGAGCTGGTACCATCCAGAGAAGTGTCCATTTACTGGGGACCACTTAGTCACTGCTAACTCATGGGTCAGTTCCTGAACATGTGGAGAGGGGTCCATGATCACACACTCAGATCTGTGTCCAGCCCCAACCCTGTACGCATGCACATTCCACATTATAGGACAGAGTTTAATTTTAAAACTGTACAGCCAACACCTCAGGCTACAGGTCTCCGTCTTCAAATCTGGGGCACAAAGGTGGCTTAGTGGAATTTACAGGCAGGAGATGAATGTGAGGAAGGAAGGTGGTCCCCCGCTGACACCATCCTCCTCCTCCATAGGTCCTCATACCCACCCCCGAGGCTGCATCTCTCCCAGACACCACCACTTAAGCCAGTCCATCAGAAGCAAGTGGGCCAGTCCCTCCCATCATAACAGCCAAACTCCTTCCTGGAGTCTTGCTCTTCTCCGATCCTGGTGCCCAGGTGGGGCAGGCACCCAAGATGGTGTCTGAGGATCAGACGGGCCTCTCACGCAAACCCCTCAATGAGTCATTGGAGAACGATGTCCTCAAAACTTTGGGAGGTAGTTTTGCAAGAATGCCTGTGTCCCTGGGCACCCCAGATTCAAGTCTGCCCAGTGGCAATATTGAGTCTGAATCAGGGGCTGCGGTCAGTGGGTTCCCTCCAAGGACTGGTGGGGAGCCGTGTCCTGGGCTGCCCCCGATGGTCCTGCTGGGGCCATTGCTTCTAACGGGCACAGCATTTGACCTGCCTGAGGGACCCTTCATTCAGATCCACCTGGGACTTTGTCCTCTGCACCTGGTCCACCTTCTCTTCTTGTCTTTGCAGTAATTCTCGAGCTATGAAGGGGGAGAGGGGACAGATGAGGAGGAGGGTCCCTGCCCCACACACAAACAGACCACAGCAGACTTGGGGATACCCTTTCCCTAACACTGGGCTCCAAACCTCTCCTAAAAATGCCAGTTGGGTCCCCACCCATTGAAGTAATTCAGGCTCATAGCAGGCCCAGAGGACAGATTAAAACTGCTCTCTAGGGTTTCCAAGACAGCTTCCCCTCTCCCACCCCAAGGAGTGGCTAGTGGGTTTGAACCTTGCAGTTAACAGTCCAATGCTTAACCCACAGCACCACCAGGATAGCAGAAAAGAAGATCCCTGAAGAAGGCCCGGGGATAAGCCCTGCCCCTCTCCGCTGGGACCCCTCGGCACCCCTCACTCACCCACAGCGCTGAAAGCCTCAGACACCTGGTGGTTCAGCTTGGCAGAGGCTTCCATGAACAGCAGCCTTTTGCTCTCTGCAAATGCCTTCCCCTCCTGAGGGAACAACCCCAGGAATGAGCATGGCTTAGCAGAGAGGGTGCCCCAGAACACAGAGCCGCCTCCTGATACCATTCAACTGTGTCCCCCAAAGACATGTGTAGAGACATTGAGATGTTACTAGAACAAGCTGGTCCTGACCGCCGCTGAGCCGTGACTTTTGTAAAGAGGAAGATGAGGATGTGGAGACGGAGCAATGTTTGTGTGAGATTCTAACACTGAGGGAAGCTTGGAGAAGGGAGGCTTCAGGGACACTATTATTACAGCATTCTTGTTAGTTTGAAATTATTTTTAAATGAAAAGTCAGAATTTTTTTAAATCGACGACCTACAGCTCAGCCTGGCCTCTGCCCCAGCTGAGGCACCTGCCTGGCTCCTGACCACCTGGGCCTGGGCATTCTTGGTGGGAAACCCAGAATGGGGAAGAAAGAAGGAGTGGCCTGGGACCCGGGGACCCCACAGAGTGACCATTTCTGTGGAGTGAAAGCCACAGGACTTCCTGCCTCTGGAAGTCTGATTGGCACCCTGGCAGGACCAATGGGAGAGCAGAAGCAGGGAATCCTGCCCCCTGAGGCCCTTTGCCTCTCTGGGCTGAGGAACCTACCCCTCAGTGTGTGCATATGTGTTTCATGTGTGTGCACGTGTGTTTCATATGTGTTCACATGTTTGCATGTATGTGAGTTTGTGTGGGGTGCGTGTGTGTGCGCATATTTGCATATATGTGAGTTTGTATGCTGTGTACATATGGTATATGTGTATATGTGTGCCAATATGTGTGTACACATCATGTGCTATGTGGTGCATTGTGAATATGTGAACATGGGTGTGTCACACCTGGATGCGTGTGTTGTGAATGCGTGTGCATGTGTGGAGCAAACATATGCACATGGGTGTGTGCTCAGGTACACATGTGTGCAAATTTGTGCATGTGTGTATGCATGTGTGTATGCATGTTTATGTGTGCACGTGTGTGTGGTGCTCTGTGTGTCACATTGTGTGTGCATGTGTGCACATCTGTTCCACGAACACATGTGTGTAGTGTGTGGGTGCATGTGCACACATGTGTGTTGTGTGTGTTGTGTGAACATGTTTGCATATTGTGTGTATGTGCACATATGTGGGTGTGGGTGTGTTTGTGTGGGTGTTCATATGTGTGCACGTGTGTGCACTCTGTGATGTGTGTCTGTGTACACATGTGTGGTGCATGTGTGTGCATGTGTGTGTATGTTTATGTGTGCTTTTGCCCAAATGTGCAGGTCCCAACAAGCCCTTGACCACAGACGGAGGGTTTGCTGCCCTCCTTCTGCGGATGTAATGACATGACCTCTGGAGACACACCTCGAAGGTCACCTGGCGCTCGTCACTGAGGTCTGTCTTGTTTCCAAGCAGCATCACCACGATGTCTCCCGGCAGGAACTCACTCTCCAGGTCCCCCAGCCACTGCTGAGCCCTGAGGAAGGAGTCCTATGAGCAGATAAACAAATGTCAGGAAGAAACTCACAGGTCATCTTTGTGAGCTGTTGCAGGACAGAAGCACGCCTGTCACGTTGTGTCCACGGTCTGAGGACACGTTCTGTGTGACAGCGTCTCTTCCTCTGAGGACGGGCGGATAGGACTTTCTCAGGCCCTGCTCTGTGCTCCTCCCACCCACCCTGCCCTGGGTACCCTTGGAAGACCACTTGGTCAGAAGAGCTTGGGTGTGGCATCACCCCAAGTCCTGATCCTAATGACAGTGCCCTCATCCCGGAACCTCCTCTCCAACCTGCTCACACACCCTCACCTGGGACCTACCCTGTGCTCTCTGGTCTCCAGGCCTTTACTCGTACTCTCATCTATGTCTCATTGTCCTCTGCCCCACACACCCCTCACACAGCTGTCCCTATCTCTCTTCCCTCATCACACACCTGCTTACTTGCATTTAGAAATCCCTGTGGCACCATGGGCTAAGCATTGGGCAGATAACCTCAAGATTGGAGGTTCAAACCCACCAGATGCTCTGAGGGCAAAAGATAGAAAGATGCACAGCCTCGGAAATGCTAAGAGTGTCACTGTGAGTCCGAATCGACTTGACTGCTGTGGTATGGACGGTTAGGGTGTTCCATTGCTCAGTGAGAGCTGGGAGGACCCAACCCACCCAGTGCCACCTCAGTAATCTGCTCCCATAAAGAAAGATTACAGCCAGGAGACCCCTATGGAGCACAGGGCTAATGTGTCACACACACGGGTCGACTCGATAGTAATGGGCAGTTGTTGTTGTTGTTTGGTTAGGGTTTTTTGATGGTGCAGAAAGTTAACATGCTCGGCTGCTAACTGGAAGGTGGAAAATCAAGTTCACCCAGAAGTACCTTGGAAGAAAGACCTGGCAATCTACTTAAAAAAAAAAAAAAAAAAAAGAGCCATCATTGAAAATGCTATATAGCATAGTTCTACTCTGACACACTGGTTGGTGGTTTGTGGACAGTGCCTTGTGCAGGCCTGTGTCTGTCCTGTGCCCATGACTTCCATCTCCACACCAACTCAGCGGGCACCCCAGGAAGGATGCGTGTGTGCAGAGGAGTGGGTCCTGGAACTGTGGGCACACACAGCCAACGGGGCGGCAGGCTTTCTGGAGGAGGTGACAACTTGCGTGTTCTCTGTGGGCCGGGGCAGCTTTCCCCTAAAACACTGGGTCAGACAGCGGTCCGGCCCCTGCAGGACACAGCGGCACATGCCGGAGACACGGGCGACGGGGCCTTGAAGCCACTCACCTTGCTCGCGATGTCGTACACTAGCAGTGCGGCATTGGCACCCCGGAAGTAGAGCCGGCAGACACTGTGATACTTCTCCTGGCCGGCCGTGTCCCAGATCTCAAACTTGAGGGCAGCTTCTCCCACCTGCACCACCTTTGTGAGGAAGGCGCCTAAAATGAGGGAGCCGGGAGCTTAATTTAGATGCTGCTTTTCCTCACAGCTTGGACTGGACCATGGAGAACCCTGGCTCAGCCCCCTGTCCACTGCCCACACAGCAGGGTTCTTGTGGCCTGAACATTGAAAAGGAGCCCTGGAGGTACAATGCTTTACTACTCAGCTGCTAACCAAAAGGTTGTGGGTTTGAACCCACCAGCCTCTGAACAGGAGAAAGATGAAGCAATCTGCTCCTATTGAACCAACAGCTCTGGAAGCCTGGCAGGGCAGTTCTGCACTGTCCTTAGGGTCACCGTGAGTCAGAACTGCCTCCACACCAGTCACCCAGAGGTCACCCTACGTGAACGCAAAAGCCCCAGATTGGGCCACAACACCCTAGGAATTCACTGGGACTGCTCTCTAAGTTGTTTGTTAGTAATCCAATTTTAAAAGTGTCTACTCTAAAATTTCCCCTCCTCCTCTGTCAGTGTGTCCTACTATGGTGACTTGTCATAGATGGCAGCTATGACACCTGTCTTCCAAATGCCAGCAGGGCCATCCACAGTGGACAGGTCTCAGCAGAGCGTCCAGGCTAAGACACACTAGGAAGAAAGGTCTGGAAATTTACTTCTGAAAACACAATGCATCACAATAGAACATTGTCCAATTGAGTGCTGGACGATGGCCCTAGGATGGAAGGTACTCAACACACAGTGGCTACAACAATGGGCTGTAGTGTTCAATGGTCGTGAGGGTAGCTCAGGAGCTGGGCAACATTTCATTCTGTTGTGCATGGGACCACTGTGTGTCGGAGTCAGGCTCTCAGCAACAACAACAAACAAAAATCCTCACCACTAGACCAATAAACATGATGATAAATAGAAAAAAGACTGAAGTTGTCAAAGACTTCATTTTGCTTGGATCCACAATCGACACTCGTGGAAGCAGCAGTCAAGAAATCAAACGACATATTGCATTGGACAAATCTGCTGCACAAGACCTCTTTAACGCATTCAAGAGTAAAAATGTCAATTTGAAGACTAAAGAGTGCTTGACCCAAGCCATGGTATATTCAAGCATCTCATGCATGTGAAAATTGGACAATGAGTAAGGAAGACCACAGAAAGAATTGATGCCTTTTCATTACGGTGTTGGAGAAGAATATTGAAAGGAGCAGGGATTATCAGAAGAAAAGAACAAATCTGTGTTGGAAGAAGTACAACCAGAATGCTCCTTAGAAGCCAGGATGGCCAGACTTCGTCTTCACGTACTTTGGACATGTTATCAGGAGGGACCAATCCCTGTAAGAGGACATCATGCTTGGTAAAGTGGGTGGTCAACATAAAAAAGGAGACCCCCAGCAAGACGGATTGACACAGTGGCAGCAGCAATGGACTCAAATTTAATAATTGTGAGGATGAAGCAGGACCGGGCAGTGTTTCATTCTATTGTGTATTGGGTAGCTATGAGTTGAAACTAACTCAGTGGCACCTAATGATAATAATACCCACAACATCATGTTAATTTAACTTCCTAAGCATGGTTCTGTTTTTTTTCTGCCTTTTAACTTCATAAGCAGCTGTTTCTTTGAGTTAGTGAGACTGCAATGTGAAGTCCCCTTTGTGTGATTCATCCTGTTTGTATCTAAGAACTGCTGCTCAGTTACAAGGGAACTTGGAGCAGATGACTTATTTTGGCGGGGGTGGGGGGGGCGCCATGGTTTCACAAGGTTCTTAGTTTAAAGGTGAGAAGGCAAAAGCTGAACACGCCGTTGGTACTCCTCCCCTTCCAGAGAAAGCCTGCACATCCGCATGGAAGCACTAGGTGTCGCCATTTCTCCAAAGGACACCGTGAAGAACGTCTACAGCACAGAAAGAGGAGCTGTCTCCCACTCTGTACCCTTGGGTGCTCCCCACAAGCCACCTCCGAGAAGACTGGCAGCTTCCCAACGACTGGCCCTTCCCCTGGCATCTGTGCCCATAAGACACGCTCCAGAGCATAGGGCCTGTCTGTTCATCTCACCTGACACAGGTGAGGGCTCCATGCCCAGCAAACACCTGCTGAAGGAGCGAATGAACCACAGCTTATTCATACAGTCAGACTCTGACTCCAAGGCTCCAATTCTGCATCCGGAGACCTTGCCACCACCACCCCCGGAGGATCAGCCTCCAGAGACCCCGCCATCACCGCTGCCCTGGGAGGGTCAGCATGAAGAACAGCTTTGAGGTTTAAGTGGAGGCCAGGTAGGGGGGCCCGCAGACCTGTAACGAGGTTTACTTTAAGGTTTGGCCTCTCTGAGAAGGTGGAAAGGGGATGTGGTGTTACCTCTCTGCCTCTCCTAACCTTGTGTCCACTACTCCTATCCAGGCCCACTACACCAGAGGGCACCCTGGATGGGGAAGGGCCAACTCTGGACATCAACACCGGCAGAGCCTGGCTCTGGATCCCTCCCTCCATCTGCAGAAAAGCTTATACATCAACCCTGCGAGGTCAGGAACCCTGAGTCCCCACCCGTCACAGGCCCAGCTGAGAGAAGTGTGAGCAGAGGGGAGGGGTATTTTATGTCCCCCCAAGTCTTGCCTGCCTGCAGTGGACCTCATTACCCCCATCCCCAGCCACATGGTGGACACAGCCATAGACCTCATCACCTCCCCAGTCCCCAGCCCAGGTGGTATAGACCACATCACCCTGACTCCCACCTTTGTGTTGGGCATAGCCATGGACCCTGTTACCCCAACCCCAACCATGTGCTAGATAGGCCTCAGCACCCCTGAAACACGTTCTGGTTCCACTGAGGTCTCAGGGGTGACCCTGAGGAAGTCCCTAGGAGGGTCTCCATTGGCTCCCAGATGTGGAATCTCGGACTCTTCTGTGAAAATTTAAACCATTTGCTGTGAAGTCAGTTTTGACTCGTGGTGACCCTGTGTGTGTCAGAGTAGAACTGCTCTCCACAGGGTTTTCAATGGCTGGGGTTTGGGAAGTGGATTGCCAGACTTTTCTTCTAAGGCACCTCCGGGTGAACTCAGACCTCCAACATTTTGGTTAACCGCTGTTTGCACCACCCGAAGATTTTGCCCCTCAAGGCAGAGGACACTCTGTCCACCCATCACTTACATCCCACAGTGGGCAGGATGCTGTTGAAGTCACCCTTGACGTATCGGAGAGCAAGGCTGGACTTGCCCACGGAGCCACTTCCCAGGAGGACCAGCTTGAAAACAGATGGTTGGTCTCGGGCAGTCTGGAGTCTCAGGGTGCTGTCTGCCTGCGCCATGAGCTGCAAAGAGTTTAAAATAGGTGATTATCTGGGGCCAGCAACCTTAGTGTGTCCACTCCCCCTGGGGACTGACCAAAATGGTCCATGCAGGCTGCAGGGCACAGGCAATGATGGGGTGCACAACCCCACTCAACCTGCGCCCTGTCTCCTCATGTGCACCCAAGGTGACTGAATCTTGTGTGGGGAACACAAACAGCTAGTCCATAAGGCATGCAGCACTGTAAATGACTGCAGACCCCTAACATGACCGATGACACAGTTATCACCCATCTATGGGGGATTATGTGACCCTGTGATGCTGGAAACCAAATACCAGCAGGATGCCCTGTGGTGGACGGGTTTCAGCGGCGCTTCCAGACTCAGACCAACTAGGATGAAAGGCCCGGAGGTCCGCTTTCACAATTAGCCAGTGGAAGCCCTGTGGGTCCTGACAGGACATTGTGACAAGGAGGCAGTTAACAGAGGAGGACAGGGGGTTTGGTGAAGTGGAGGGCCAGCGAGGGTGAGGGGATAGAGCCCTGGAGAGGTGGACAGGCACGGTGATGCACAACAGGCCAACACTTCCGTCTGTTGCTCATAGCTCCGAGGTGATGCCACAGCAGCCACCAATAGGTAACCTAATTCTTACTCACTTCATCCCCTCACATCTCACTTCCTAACAATTCATGGCTTATTCCTGAAAGCTAAGTGTTGGACTAACCTGAGGTGTTGGGGTCATGCTGATGCTTCCGGCAAACCTTCCTAAAGATCAAAGTTGCTGATTCAGGGTTCTCTAAACGTTGTAATCTTTCTCCTGGCATCTGAGGTCTCAGACCAGCTCTACAGGGGAAACCAGCTGTGGCCAAAATAAATGTGGGAGACCACCGTTGGCATTGTCAGGTGCCACTGAGTTGGTTCCCACTCACAGCAACCCCATGTGTTATCGAACAAGACACTGTGCGGACCTGCACCCTCCTCACAATCGTTAGTGTGTTTGTGGCCATGGCTGCAGCCACTGTGCCATCCATCTCATTGGGGGTCTCCCGCTTTCTCGCTGACTGTCCACTTTACCAAGCACGATGTCTTTCTCCAGGGACTGGTCCCTCCTGATAGCATGTCCAAAGTAAATGAGACCAAGTCTCGCCATCCTGGCTTCTAAGAAGCATTCCAGTTATACATCTTCCAATACAAATTTGTTCATTCTTTGGCAGTCCATGGTAGATTCGGGATTCTTCACCAACACCATAACTCAAATGCATCCATTCTTCTTTGGTCTTCCTTATTCACTGTATAACAAACTGGCAGACAAGTGGTAGTAGGAGACCACATGTAGTTCTTACTGAGGGAAATTTCACGCAACAGTCCAATGGACAGACCTCCACAACTAAACCCCGAAGCCTACCTTGTTTCACCCGCAGCTCCCAAACCTCCCTCCACAAGATTATTTTGAAGCAAATCCAAATTCCAGCCATCCTATTAGCTCATCTGCAACTTGCAGTCCTCAGGCATAGCTCATTCTGTTGTGAATCTCTGTATTACACCTTGCAGATACTGTGGGGTTGACTTTGGTCTGGTTTTACAAATGCAAGATCTGTGGCAGCCTTGTGTCGAGCAAGTGGATGGGCGCCATTTTTCCAACTGCCCTTTGTGTCTCTGTCACATTTTGGTCATTTTCACAATATTCCATATTTCCTAATACCACTGCAGACCCAGCTGATGACAGTATGATATAAACATGACTTCTATGTGCACTGGAAAGCCAAAACATTAGTTCCACTCACTTTTTTGTGATATTTGTTTTATTGTGGTAGTCTGGAACCGAACCAATAATATCTCTGAAGGAGTTTTGCTGTGGCATTGTAGGAAAACACTGGACCACAAGGTTGATTTAAATTGCAAGGTTGGCAGTTCAAACTTACCAGCTGCTCCTCGGAAACCCTATACAGAGTTGCTATGAGTCAGAAGCAACTCAAAGGCACTTAACAACAACAACACACCTGGCATACATGATTTTCCTTCACTCACTGGATCCTGGTGTGACACTGTAGGATAAGCACTGGACTGTAAGGTCAGTGTGAACCACAAGGTCAGCTCCTTGGAAACCCTATACAGGTCACTATAAGTCAGAACTGACTCAACACACTTGACAGCAGTAACATTAATTTGTAGAAGAATTCCGGTTTTTTGTCCTATAGTTTTGGGAAGTTGTTGATTGTATGTCTGTGTGAGCCTTTTAGTCCATTTCTGTTTCCTACACTCCAGTGGTTCCGAATCGAAATCTGACCGGGTACCAGCTCTTTGTTTAGACAATGTCTGTGGCATGCTGTGTGCCCCCCACTGGGGACACAGGACATTCAGTTGTCCCTTTGGGAAGTTTTCCTCACTGGTGACTGTTGTCTGGACCCACTATTTCGTTAAAAACCAAACTCATTGGCGTCAAGTCCATTCTGACGCAGGGCGATCCCACACGTGTCAGACGAGAACTGTGTTCTGTAGGGACTTCCGGGGCTGACTTTTGGATGTGGGTTTGCAGGCCTCCCCTCTGAGGTGCCGCTGGGTGGGTTAGAACCAGCAACCTTTCGGTGAGTAGCCGAGCATGTAACCATGGCTGGATGCTCAGCACATAATGCTGTTATTTAATGCCATTGAGCCTGTCCGACTCACAATGACCCTACATAGGGTTTCCAAGGCTGTAAATCTTTATGGGAGCAGAAAGCCTCACCTTTTTACTACATAACGGCTGGTAGTTTTGAACTGCTGACCTTGAGGTTCGCAGCCCAACTCGTAACCATTATGCTACCAGAGCTCCTACCTCACAAAACAGTGTTGTTGTTAAGTTCTGTTGAGTAGGTTCTGACCCATAGGGACCCTATATAGGGTTTCTGAGGAGCAGCTGGTGAGCTTGAACCACCGACCTCGTGGTTCAAACCAACCTTGCAGTCCAGCGCTTTAACCCGCAACACCAACAGGTGCCCAATAAACACCTGATGAATATGCATGAATGAATGAGGTGAGACCCAGGGTTCTATGCAGACAGACAAGATGGGCATAAATATTGGTTTAAATAGTTGCCTGAACTGAGGACAATTGCTTGAGGCAGAATGGGAGGAGCTGAGGGAAGCTGGCTCTGAACCAGTGGTAACCAAGGAGAGACACTGGGAACCAAGGGTCATGACCAGGGTCAGCCCTGCCCAGTCCTGCCCTGCCTGGCCATCCGGGACTTTCTCATTCCACAAAGAGGAGCCCAGCGCAGCAAGCAGGAGGGGCCATTCTCCTCTCCAACACCCCACAACCACTGTGAAAGCCACAGGCAGGAGAGGAAGCTCAGAGACACCAGCCAGAAAAACCACCTGAAAAGCCAGGTCACCTCTGGGGACTAGAACCCACAGCCCTGCTGACTCAGGTCTGCACACAGACGTCAAAACAAAATCCAGAATCCCCAAAGGAACAGCAGTGATGGAGTCTCAAAGTTCAGATACCAGTGGTCCACACGCCCCGGGCCTTCCAGACATGCCCACTTCTCTCCTCTCTCCTACGCCTACCTCCCGTCAGTGAGAGTGTGGCCCTGTGGTACCCTAGATTAGGGCTCTCAGCCTCCAGAACCATGAGGTGCTGTGATTGGGGGGGCAAACTCCCACAATATCCATTCAATATTTCATAAATGAATGTGGCAGGAAGGGGACCTTTTGTCAGGAAGCCATAGCTGGATGGACAAGATGCTTCACCATGAGGTTTTACCATTGGTAAGCGCCAGCCAGGCCGCTCACCAGCAGTGAGTTGGAGAAGAGAGCCAAGCCTGAGGACACGTTGAGATGCTCTTGATGACTAGGCCACTACCTCTGAGCTCATCTGACTCCAGTTGTCGTCCTCACCGGGAGCAGATGGCCAAGCTTTTCTTCCATTGAGCGGCTGGTGGTTTTGAACAACTGACCTGTGGCTAGCAGCCCATTGCTTAACTCTCTGTATAACTGGGGCTCCTTCTGAGTCTTCACGGGAAGCAGGACACCTACCTCAAGGCCAGTCCTGGTCACAGTGTGGGGACAAGGGCCGTAGCCAGGTGCAAGAAAGGTAATGTCATCTGCATATCACAGGTTGTTATGTTAACAAGGTTTCCTCCAAAGCTGATGTCTTGTTCTTCTTCATAGACTCCAGCTTCTCGGATGATGTGCTCAGCATACAGGTTGAACAAGTATGGTGACTATAAACCATTCAGTGTCCTCTTGGTCTATGCACAGGTTCCTCCTGAGCACAATTAACTGTTCTAGAATTTCCATTCTTCATATTGTTATCCGTAATTTGTTACGATCCACAGTGGAATGTAACTGTGTAGTCAATAAAACACAGGCACATACTTTTCTGGTATTCTCTGCTGTCAGCCAAGATCCGTCTGACATCAGCAATGATATCCCTCTTCTGAATCCAACGTGAATTTCTGGCAGCTCCCTGTTGATGTCCTGCTACAACCTGTGCATAAACCAAGAGGTAGCAGTACAAGGAGAAGAGGCTCTCCGTGAGCACCATTGGCTACTCCACAGGACTTCCTACCTCCATGAAAAAAAAAGCTGGGAACAGAGCGCATCCTTCAGACCTGGGGTCCTTGTGATGAGAAACTCCTAGATCCAGCGGAAGATTGATTTGTCAGGGCCTTCCCCAAGAGCCAAGCAAGAGAGAGCACTTCCCCTCCAGCAACTGCCCTGGATTCAGGCTTTTAATCCCCCACACTGTGAGAGAGAACCTCCTAGCTCTGGTAGCATAGTGGTTACAAATCAGGCTGCGAACTGCAAGGCCAGCAGTTCGAAACTACCAGCTGTTCCGTGGGAGAAAGATGAGGCTTTCTGCTCCTGTAAAGATTCACAGCCTCGGAAACCCTGTTCAGGGTCGCTATGGGTCGGAACCGACTCGACGGCACTTAACAACAACAACTGTGAGAGAAGAAATTTCTGCTTGTTTAAGCCACTCCCTTGTGGCATTTTCTGTTATAGCAGCACCAGAGGACTAAGACAATGACCTGGAATTCT